AATAATCAAAACTGTAAAAGTTAATGATCAAAAATCGACTAGATTTTTTTTCTGATGTTCTCTACATCATTATCAGAAGGATTGTACCAACTTAGTACAAAATTGGATTTTTTTTTAGTAAGCCAATTTGATATTTTTTTATCATTTTAATAGCTTATCCTTTCTATGAATGTGTCAAAAATAGAAAACATTTTTTTTTTTCACATTATTTTTCAACAAAAAAATCTTATAAGTGCGGCATTTTTGAACCTTACGTTGAAGTAAGTAGTCCAAAAAAAATTTCACTTATCCTCTATTTTTTTAAAGTTCAAATCAAATATTTTAAGTTCTATCCTCTCGAAAAGTCTTATTAAAAAATAACTTTTATGAGCCATTTAAAATAATTTTATTGATCAATAAAATGTTTGAAAACCCAAACAATCAATTGAGTGAAAAGCTAGCGAGTTAATGTATTTATTATAATAAAATGGATCCTATTTGCGGTAAACCGGAGGTCAAGATAGTCCGTACCTTCTCGAGCTCACGTACACGTATGAGCGGAGTTCCCGGTGGTAGGTTCTGACCTTTTTGGTCTGCAGGAGCAGAGCAACGAGCCGGACTCTGGTCACGCGCGCCGACTGTAATCACGTCAGCAAAGTACCAAGGGTTCTTGATTGGCCCGTCCATCGTCCACCGTCCATCGGTTTGCTTGCATTGGTCTCATCCTTTTCCTTCTTTTTGCATTCTCTTCCTTTCACTTGTCCCATTCTCTGCACTCTTCTCGTGCATCCAAAGGACCACGGAGGAATTTCATCCGTTCCATCTTTGTCTCGCCCATTGGTCAAAGATAAATCCCTCTCGCTCGCTCCTGTCCTCTTTTTTATCTGGATTGGACAATTTTTGCCTCGCTCTTTCTTCATTGTCTTCTGTCCTCTGTCCTACGTCCTACGGGTCTGCGTGGAAGCCGTTGGGCACAAATGAGGTTGTCGCGTCAGCGCGTGCGTTGAGTTGTTCCCTCTGGACCAAATAGAGTTGATAGAACGAGAGGAAAATACAAAGAACTGAACGAGTTTATTTTCCCTCTCTGTTCTTCTATTATCCTCCTCTCTCCTCCGTCCGTTTCTCTTCACGATTGTCTTAACTTAATTTTTTTAGTTATTTTAATCCCATCCCGTCCTCTTCATCTTCATCTTATTTTATTAATACACACTCTCGTATATTTATATGTAAATTTATATTATTTTATTTTTAGTTTTATTTTAGGACTTTCTCTTGGCCACTTAAATTCTTCTTTTATTATCTTTAAATATTTATACCGTAATATTATAATGTACGATAATGAAGATATTGCGCATTAAATTAGAATTCCTTCTTGTTCTCTTCTTTGGGCAATAAACGGTAATTCCTAATTCTTAATTCCTAATGTGAGGTATTAATATCTAAATTCTCCATTATAAAATAAAAATAAAAGGCGAGAAATATTGACGCATGCCCGAAATACCGAACACGAACTTGGTTTATGAGACCGCCATAAAAAAGAGATGTAATACAACTTGCTTGTATACTTCTTAAACTTTTATACTTGTATTTGCGAACTCTTGTACGTATGACTACATATATAGACATATGAAAACTCTTCGGGGCTTGTTTTATTCCCGCCTAAACCACGTCGTCAATTTTTGTCCATTGACAGCTTAATTATTTTGCTGGCATGCTATGAAATATTCTCGTTTCAATTAACTTATTTTTTCAACTTCAACTTAAATTTATGCATGTGGTCAGACTTTTACTTAAATTTTTGTTGAAAAATTTATTTGTTTTAATTTATGAGCACTTTTACACTGAAAAATTTGTTATTTAGTTTAATTCGTCTGGATAAATAATAATTTGTAATGAATAAATCACTTTAAAGGAGTTGATTGCGTCAAATGAATGATTTACTAGTGGTAAATAAGTTGTATGTAGCTGAAACATCTCGATGTAAACAGTCTGCTGATATAACAAGTACTTAACATTAATAAAATTTATAATTGACCAGCATGAAAGTCAAATACCACAGATGTCGTATTAATAACTTGATTACTTAATTATTATAGTTTTCTTTTAAGAGAGAAAAAATATATGACAATTCTAATATCATTCTTAAATATTTTGATTTTTTCTCACTCTAATCTATATTATTAAGAAAATAAGAAAAATTTTGTTTATCATTCTCACCGATAGTCAATTTATTATAATGAGTATTTAGGCTGCATTTAAAAATGGTCTATCTCTAGATACATAATTAAGAAAGAACCTTGTATCTTGTGAACTATTGACATTTTTAAAAATATAAGCTCATCCCGATGTTTCACTCGTCGAGACCTTTCATTTGAATACCCACATCAATTTTTCTAATATTTTATATATTTATATATATTATATATATGTATATATGAAAAATATATCAAAATGCATGTGGGTACTCAAATGAAAGCTCTTGATGAGTGTAACATCAGGATGAGCTTATATCTTAAAAAATGTCAATAATTAAGAAGTGACATTGCTATCTTGTCAACTAATGACATTTTTGAAGATATAAGCTCATCCCAACATTACACTCACCGGGACCTTTCATTTGAGTACCCACATCAATTTTTCTAATATTTATATATATCATATATATGTAT